ACTTTTCCCTGATCTTGAAGAAGTTGCTTTTTACCACAATTGCTACTAATCTTGCCATCTGATCCGCTAATTTGCTGTTGTCGATAAGAGTCCAGACAACGCTGCTCGTGTGATATTGTGGTAAAAAACAAATCAAATGTGGTTTAGCATTGTCTGTACTCTTATCGACAACGATATGCGTCTTCACAGTGGTCAAAGTTTGTTGTGGACTCACTCGGCTGCACCTCGTGAGTCCACAACATTTTAACCACAGTGATGACGCATATCGTTGTCGACAAGAGTACAGACCACAATAAACCACATTCGATTTGCTAATTTTCCCTGACTATTTCCTGACCTATGGCGACCCTGCATGTAGCTCTTAAAAGAAAAAAAAATGGCTTACAGTTTTACTCCACACCAGGCCAGTTGTATGATGTGCTTTGACATATGCCTGGAGATCAGCAAGGGCACCTTTGAGACAGCTTACCCATTCCACATGCGTCTTATCTCTGTGAGATTAACAACAAAAATAGATTACACATGTACCCATATAATTTACCATCACCTGATTAGAATAAATAGAAATGTCTCAAACATCACAGCCAGTACATAAGGCCTCATGGTTAGCACACTAGTCTCCAGATTGGGCAGTCCAGGTTAGAGTCCTGGCCAGGGACATTGCGTTGTGTTCTTGGGCAAGACACTTTACTTTCACAGTGCCTCTCTCCAGCCAGGTGTACAAATGGGTACCAGCAAATGCTGGGGGTAACTTCCTATCCAGGGAAGAGTAGAAATACTTCCAGTCATGTCATGCTACAGAAACCAGGATAAGCTCCAGATTATGGGCCACTTTGCTCATCAGCATTACATAAGGAAAGCACAGCGCTGTAAATCCTGAACTTAATATGTACCGTATTTACCCGTGTATAAGTCGACCTTTCAAGACCTAAAAATCAGTCCAAAAATTCGCCCTCAACTTATACATGGGTCAAAACAAGCATTAGTTAAATAATTAGCATAATAATTGTCTTTCAATGTTAGCAAACATGTAATAAATGGCAGCACAGTTTACAACGTACGTTCGCTTAGCGATCTGTTTCTCTATATCAGAGCTCCAAGTTGAAATACATCAACATTTATCCGCTAAATGTTAACCTGAAAGTTGTAGATACTCACTGACTCAATTTTGTCATAAAGAACCGATATTTTTCCTGTAAATAAAGCTGTAAAGCCGCTCGAAGAAAACATCTTTTGCGCATCGAACNTGTACAACTGTATGAGGTGTTAGTTGACGAGGCCAAAGGCCAAATCAACTATCACATCATGATAGAAATCAAGACCAAATAATCTAATTGTCTTGTTATAAGAATTCTAACTGAAATTTCCTTCAGAAGATGAATTCCAATTTTATTTCTCCCATATTTGCAGCTGTATTACACTCTACGCTTTAGAAAAATTGTACAGACTGAATTTTCTTTTCAAATTTGCAGTTTTAAGACAATGTCAAGATTTTAAAGTCATGAAACCGTCAGTGTCTTTCTTTTAGTCTTCTATGGAATTTAATTATTTATGTTGTGGGTCAAAATGCGGATATCAACACTAGTTACTCTCAGTCTCGTTCTAATATATTTTAATGTTCACAGCTCTCCCTGTGTCTCAAATACATCTCAGTCACTAATTACAATACAAAGGAAAGCTCTTTATATATGCTCTCGATAAGGTTGCTAAGGAAATACCATTCGCTCATGAAATTTTGCACATGAAAGATCAGGTCTAAATTCCCATGGCATTTCAGCATCTTAGGTAGGAGATTGTTCAGAACAACAGTTGCAGGACATTTTAGTTAGAAAAGCTATCAATACGTTCCTCAATTCAAATCAAGGACTCGCAAAAGTAATCTGAGACACCAGCTGCAAGTCACGCCACTCCTCATTTTTAGCGTGAAATGCAAAAGAAAACCCTTCAAGCAAGACAAGTCAACCTCTTGCGCCTTAATCGCTTGCTCAACCGCTCTGTGGCCTGAAACCTCACNAAAAACTTACTTGCACGATTCTTCTCACGGAAATTCTGTAACACACAAAAGCAAAACATACCTGTATATAAGGTGAACAACCCATAATACTTTATTGCAGCATACAGTAATATTGTATTATCATAATGGATCTTTAGTAAATGTTCTAAAAGCTGTCCTATTTTTTTAACAATCACATTATGAGCTCACAGTTTTTACATACATGTACATGTACAACTGTATGAGGTGTTAGTTGACAAGGCCAAAGGCCAAATCAACTATCACATCATGATAGAAATCAAGAGCAAATAATCTAATTGTCTTGTTATAAGAATTCTAACTGAAATTTCCTTCAGAAAATGAATTCCAATATTATTTCTCCAATATTTGCAGCTGTATTAAACTTTACACTTAAGAGAAATTGCACAGACTGAATTTTCTTTTCAAATTTGCAGTTTTAAGGCAATGTTAAGATTTTAAAGTCATGAAACAGTCAGTGTCTTTCTTTTAGTCTTCTATGGAATTTAATTATTTATGTTATGGGTCAAAATGCAGATATCAACACTATAGTCACTCTCGATCTCGTTCTAATATATTTTAATGTTCACAGCTCTCCCTGTGTATCAAATACATCTCAGTCACTGATTACAATGCAAAGGAAAGCTCTTTAAATATGCTCTCGATAAGGTCTAAATTCCCATGGCATTTCAGCATCTTAGGTAGGAGATTGTTCAGAACAACAGTTGCAGGACATTTTAGTTAGAAAAGTTATCGATACGTTCCTCAATTCAAATCAAGGACTCGCAAAAGTAATCTGAGACACCAGTTGCAAGTCACGCCACTCCTCAATTTTAGCGTGAAATGCAAAAGAAAACCCTTCAAGCAAGACAAGTCAACCTCTTGCGCCTTAATCGCTTGCTCAACCACTCTGTGGCCTGAAACCTCACAGCTCACCTAGCTATTCTACCCTGAAACTCATGAGGTCAACTTGTGGTAAGTCTAAAGATCACCTTGAATATCAAATGTAACGTTAAGCATTTGTCACTCCCTGATAATGATTGTCATGCTCTATGTGTTTCTAACATTACTTCTAAATTTTCTCCCGAAACTTCAGAAAAATTTGAAAGCGTCACCATTTCACACATGACCTAAAGCCACCGCATTCTAATGTTAGTGTACACAATAGCCCTGCCAATCAAATTGTAGCATTTGCAAAATCAGTGATTTTCTTCCCTTTTCTTACAGTGCCCTCTACGGGTACTTGTAATTGAAACAACACATCTTTTTCTCTGAGTTTCCAATATGGAGCTGTGGAAACACAAAGGAAAGTGTGGAGAGAATTTGGCAAAGCATTGGAAACAATCAGCTCACTGCCTAGGGCTTTGTTCTCCCACAGCCACTGTTGTTCTCACAAACTTTGATGTGCATTTCTATAAGTTGAAGCGGCAAAGAAACATTGAAATTTTTTTTTCTTAAATCAAGCATAACTCATATTAAATAAGATTTTTAAAATATGACAGCACCTGCACTTCAGATATAGCACCAGAGAGTGGTTTCAGCAGCTTCACAAATTCTTCCTGTAAAGAAAACACTGAACACTTATTATGTCAAACAATGGATTATTAGCAATTATGGTAAAGAAGAAGAAAATAGTAAAAAGTGCAATAAGTATCACCAACCGCACTGAAATGACAGGAGTTCGCATGATGCCTTCAGGGATGCACAATGTACAACTGTACAGCTGCATATGCCATTTTAGTGTCCACAGTAGTGGAATGCAGCTGGTTTACAATGGAAGCACAGGCATGGGAAAATCATTAGAGAGAGATCAATGCAATTTGCATTTGAAAATACTCCCCTTACTAACCACACTTGCAATCTGGTTCCAGTTAATATTGAGAATTCTAATAATATGGGCTATTCCTGATCTTCCAGATTTGCAGTAAGCCCTTCCATACAGTTCTTAGTTAAATGATTGGTTCTGTTATCTTAGAGATCTGCCTTCTTACATGTACTTTGACTGATACAGTAGATCAGCAATTTTCACCTTCAGCTTACGTGAAAGAAGGACACATTAATGTGGCTGTTGAACTCACCGTACTCGGCTTCTGATTCTTAGAAGCAAGTACAATTAATTCTCTTTGAGCATCAAAAGCCTTTTTAACCATCTTCACCTGGAAAAAGAATCAAACATACACAAGAAACAGCTTACAAAATATAGTCAACACCAAATCAACTAAAATAACACCATCCTCAAACCCAGTTACAAGTACA